TGAAAAATGAGGTTATTACAGAACTATCAGCTTCCACAATTCCTTGTTCGGTGATATTCAAATGCAGTATTTGTTCGTAAACAGTTAAAACAAAACTACAAAACCACAGGTTAGTTAATGTTTTGGTTTTCTTCTTGTAAATGCCTATAGTTATTTTACACATCATCTGAATGCAAAACAAGAACTGCTTTTAACTGAATTGTCTAGTTTGTGAGGCTACAGTAACACAATCCCTTTAAGCTTCTCATTCTCTCTCCCTTTAAACTGTTAATATGTGAGAAAAGATGTTGTCAGTGGAGTCTCTTTTTCTAACAACGCAGTCCCGGGGGCAGTGTAATCAAAAAGGTTTGTTTGAAAACATCACAGCTAACATTCATATAATGTTTTGCAGCAGGATTAAATCTTCAGGAAAGTTGCTTTTAAGATCTTTACATTTATTGTTTTACCCAGGCAAATACTGTTTTAATATTGCAGTCAGCTGAATTCTAGTCCAATATTTTTGTATTTTCAATTACATTGCTCATTTTAAGTTGTGAGGAGTTTTTTTGTGTGTCAGGAGCGACTTGAGAAACTGCATGTCACTTCTGGTGTGCGAGAATTGGCCGCCTGCAAGGACGTTGCCCAGGGGATGCCCAGATGTTTTGATGTTTTATCATCCTTGTGGGAGGCTTCTCTCATGTCCCCACATGGGGAGCTGGAGCTGACAGAGGGAGCTCAACCCTCTGTCCCCAGATTCGAACCACTGACCTGTCGATCAGCAAAACAAGGGTTTAACCCATTGCGCCAGCAGAGGCTTCTAGCTGTGAGGTACTTTGAGTCTGATTCTTGGGGCAAAAGCAAAATAATGATGATGCAACTATGAAGTTGCAGCATTACTTTTTTCTTTAATGTAATGGGAGGGATGCTGGGGACCATGAGGACCACAAGAAATGAATTTTGTGGGCTCCTTATTTTCCAACAGCTAGGTTGGCAGAAGCTGGGACTAATAGCGGATGTTCACCCTGCTCTCCAGATTCGAACCACCAACCTTTCCATCAGTAAGTTCAGCAGCTCAGCGGTTTAACCCGCTGCTCCACCAGGGATTGATAGTTAAGTAATATGAGACTGGTGTACTGAGGGGGGCAACAACTGCAAAATGAGGACTGTCTTTAAAAGAAAAATTCTCTCCTTATGAAATTGAAATGTATTTCTCAGATTTATAGCAACACAGTAATTTTAAACTTCAAGGGTACATTTAAAAAGAGAATTTAGGCATCCAAAGAAAAGGGACAGCTAAGGGAATGTGAACATGGCAAATATAAGACCTATAAGTGTGAATTATTTTCAGTGACTTGGTTTGTAATGCTAGACATTACAAAATCACATTCTGTCGGGTGTGCTTTGAATGCAATTTTCCTGCTTCTTTGCAGGGGGTTGGACTGGATGGCCCATGAGGTCTCTTCCAACTCCAGGATTTTATGATTCTTTAATTTGGAGACTGAGATGAAAATTTCATCTGCTGGCAGAATTATTTTGGATGGGATACCACCTATGAATAACAAGTGCTATAGGTTATATTTCAGAGGAAGGAACTGGCAGAAGCAACGGTTCCCAACCTTTTTCATGTCGCGACCCCATTTTATAGAGGCAAAGTGACCCACGACCCTGATATGTTAAAAATCAGAGCTGTTGGCACTGCTTCAGTGCTGACAATGGTGTCTGGACCAAGGTTGATTGCTCTTGGCTTGCTTCTCTGCTGGCCAAAGAAGGGAAATAATGTAATGTGCTGGGCGTCAGATTCTTGAAAGTGGGATCATTTAATTTGTTTCTAGGCATCATTTATTAGATTGTATATAATTTTCTGGTATTGAAGGGAAAAAAACATAGCCACCCACAAGAAACAAGGCTAGGCACTGAGCATACATGTATCGCTAAGAATCAACCAATCACAAGCCGAGCAGAGCCCGCATTCCATAGAGCCAATCACGAAACTCAACATGAACCTGGACTTCACAACAAACTAACCCAATGAACTAAAGATTGTTCCACATTTACGCAAACAAATCTATGTGCAGGATTTTTTTTTGTTACGTGATGTTTTTGTTTCCCCTTTTTCAAATTTTCATAGCTCACCATTTCCCAGTGACCCTACAGAAAACCCTATTTGAGGTTGTGACCCATGGGTTGGGAACTACTGGGCAAAATGATTTCTGAGAAAATGCTATGGAATTCCTTGGGTTGTAGTAAGTAAACGGGCAGTTTGAAGGAAAATGTAGTCTTAAGCACTAGGAGAGGCATTACAGCCTTTAAGATTAGAAAACATCACAGCAAATAAGATCTGGAGGACAGAGATCTGGGAGATGTACACACTAGACAGGGACCTCAGGAAGGACAGATCTGACCTTAGGCCTGAAGTCCCCAAAAGCAAAACTATCTTGGTATTTTCTTGACATGATCTGTTCAAAGGGGGGTTCCTTTATCTTTCTATGAGAGTGTAACATGCCCAAGATCACCCAATAGCTTTCCATGCTTAAGCAGGGATTTAGAACCTGGTCTTCAGAGTCATAGTCCAACATTCACTATACCTCACTGGTCCAAAAGGCATAAATAAAGCTTACTTGGGAGAAGACAACCCACTTCTCCTTCCTGACATACTTCTCTGTCTTTCTGCAAAGAACATGCTCAAACTTTGAATGACAATCCTGCAGGACACAACCAATCCAGCTGAAGAAGAAAGATTAGTAAAACACTTGTGATAATCAGTTAGCACATTCTTTTGGAAGAGGCCAATACATTCCACACTGACAAAATCATCTCCAAATTAAACCACACTTCAAAAGCTGAGAGAAGCATCTCTCCTCAGAATCCTAATTAATCCTGTCAGTGGCAACTTCTGAGTTCATTGGCGCCCCAGGAAATGTCCCACTTTCTCATCTCGTTGCTTTACTGCTTCTAGACAGCACCATGGCTTTTGCGAGAAAACCCAGAATAACCTTTCTGAAGCAGTCACATCACGTCTGTGTTATAAATCCTAGCTTATTGTAAGTTTTGTAATTATCTCTTGATTTGTTTTTATTGTTTCTTCCTTGTTTGCTATCTTTTACCATTTATGTATTCATCTATTGCTTGTGAATTTTCTTAGTTAGACCCAACATATGTGTGTGTATGTTACACACATACATACAGTGCCTTCAAGTTGTTGGTTGATATCACAACCCATGCATTTTATTGGGTTTTCTTTGGCAAGGAATTTTCAGGTGGCTTTGTCAGTTCCTTCCTGTAGTAGAGTAGACTCATTAAATCAATTGCTGATTTAATCCTTCGGATAAGTTTCTAGTCCCAATTCAAAGTGGTATTTATCGCCTATAAAACTCTAAACAGCTTGGGTCCTGCCTACCTTCATGACCACATCTCCCTCTCCCCCCTCCCCCCCCACCATGAACCAACACGGATTCTAAGATCTGTCAGGGAGATCCTCCTATCAGTCCTGCCACCATCACAAGCGTGGTTGGTGGGGACAAAGGAGAAGGCTTTCTCGGTACTGGCCCCTGGCTTTGGAACTCCCTCCCCAGGGAGATTAGATAGGCCCCCACACTGTCCTTCTTTCATAGGGTTTGAAGACGTAGCTCTTCAATCAAGCGTTGAAAATATTTAGCCCCTAGTTGTCCTACGTAGTAGTTGCCCATCCTGCACTTTATCCCATGCCCTCTCTCCATTACTGCAGCTGGCACTTATTTTAGTCCAAAGTTTACAGCCCAGTCATGGTGCCAGTAATTTACTGCCACAGTTAGTTTATCGCAGCTTGATTGAGTACGAGTTCTTGTTTTTATATGTGCATGTGTTTTATTTTATTGTATTTTATATTGTGTTTACTTTTATATTTGTTTTTAGGCACTTTGTGCCATCTGTAAGCTGCTCTGAGTCCCTTCAGGGAGATGATGGCAGGATATAAGAATAACGTTGTTGTTGTTGTTGTTATAAACACAGCAAGATTAGTATTATTATTATTATTAACTTTATTTGTACCCCGCTAGCATCTCCCGAAGGACTCGATGCGGCTTACAAAGGCCAAGGCCTCAAACACAACATAACAATACACAACCTAACGCAATTAAAAAATTAAAACAATTAAAGCAAAATTCAACAACGAGCAATAAACAATACACCAAGATACAATAAACTGGGCCGGGCCAGAGTAATGGGTACAGGATTAAAAGTGCTGATGTGACAGGTGATATGTAAGGATTATAGGGTAAGTGCAGTGTGCGGTGTGCAGCAATCTTAATTCTAATAAAGTGCTTCTGGTACACAGCAAACAAGATCACTATACTGGTTGTTGTATTGGATCACACATCGAACACTTCCCAAGTGTCTAGCACTATGTGATGTATCGGTGAATAATGCGTACCGATCCCAGTAATGCAGCTGACAGATGGTGATTTTGTCAGCGCCCATTGTGTTTAAGTGCAGGCCAAGGTCTTTAGGCACTGCAACCAGTGTGCCGATCCCTACTGGGACCACCTTGACTGGCTTGTGCCAGAGTCTTTGCACTCTGATCTTTAAATCCTCATATCATGTCAGCTTTTCCAGTTGTTCTTTTCAATAATGCTGTCGCCAGGGATTGCAACATCGATGATCCATACTTGGTTTTTTAACACGATTGTGGGGTCAGGAGTATTGTGCTTCAAAACTCTTTGTCTGTCTGCATTCGGAAGTCCCAGAGTAGTTTAATGTGTTCATTTTCTGTAACTTTTTCAGGCTTGTGATCTAACCAGTTCTTTGTTGCAGGCAGATGGTATTTGTGGCACAAGTTCCAATGAACCATCTGAGCAGTGGCATCATCATCATTAGAGAGGCCTGTACAACAGTCTAATTGGTTCACTGTTTCTACACTAGTCAAGACTGAATAAAGTTGCCAGAATTTCAAATTGGGACCTCATACTTGCCAAGAATAGGCTATACCACTCAGCTGTGATCCATTCTTCTAATAGTGGGTTCTCATTTTCTTCATTTGTCTTCAGGTTGGTGCATTCAGGGCCGGGGAAGGGCTCTCCCCAGTCTGGGGTGGATTTATCCTTTGCTACTCGCACAGGCACACGGCAAGGAATTGAAAGTCATCTCTTTAAGACGGAGACTAATAGAGACCTCTCCCTGTGGACGAGGAGCATAGTGCAGGGTTGCCACAATGCAGCAGAGCTCTCCATGGAAATCGTAACTGGTGAGTGAAACCCTCAGAAATGTGGATGAAATTGCAGCAGAAGCGAGGATAGACTGTTGCTAAAGATTAGATGCTGCTTCTCATAATGGAAGGAAGTCTTGCACACACACCTACGAATAGATCACATTAATCTCAATGTGAGTAAATTCTAAATAAACATAGCCTAGCATTCAATCGGAAGCATTATTGTTGTATGCCTTCACATCATTTCTGATTTATAGTAACCCTAATCACAAGCTTTTCTTGGCAAGATTTACTCAGGCGGTGGTTGCTTTTGCTTTTTTCTGAGGCTAAGAGACTTCCCCAGGGTCACCCACTGGGATTATATAGCCAAATAGAGACTTGAATCCTGATCTTCATAACTCAGTGCTCAAGCCACTACACCATGCTAGCTCTCATTGGTGAGATGCACAGGCAGAGAGACTTATGGAGTTGCTTGTTCTGGGTATTCCTGGAAAAGGAATAATCTCCCCAATATAAGTGTGTTTCTTATCTGTCAGAGATAAAAAAAAAAAGTCAGAGAAGTCTAGGGCCAGGGAAATGAAGCAAAAGGGGAAAAAGCAAACTCAAGTACAAGTTCTTTAAGTTGCAGTTTTGCACCAACCAACTATGATATTGCCACTTTTGATCCGTTAATGTACTGGCTACTATTACATGGCAGATGTTGTAGAAAAAGAGATAAAGGACCATTGGTCTCTCCATTGTGCTGCTTCCCTTTTAATAAATCCTTGAGTGCTAAGGTAATGCTGAATGTCACAGGGAAAAGCCTTGTAGGCTGGACAGGGCTTTATGGGACTACTTGGTTTGAGTCCCAAGTATCATCATACAATGTCTTGACATTGAGAAATTTCCCAAACCTCTCCTATACTCACATATCATACACTTTCCCCTTCACACAAACAAGTTTTTTGGTTAGTTTTTATTTTTCTTTGTTCCAAACTGTGAATTTATTGTCTTTACAAATCAATATAGTCTAAGTAATTGACACCCACTGTTTTTCAATTGCTGCGTACCATTAAAGCAAGAAGCATTGGGGTGGTGAATCAGCTCCAGATTTTAGTTCCAAGTTTTTAAGAAGCTGTTCAAAACACTGAACTAATTTTGGGGATAATCTTTTGGGGCTTGAATGGTTCCTTTAAAGTGAAATGAGAGTCATCTTTGATGTTCTTGGTGGTAGGCAGTCAAATATCCTGGAATATTTCTCTTATGCTATCCTGTTTGTCTTCATTCAGTTGCAAACCAGTTAGTCTCTCAGTTGTTCTCTTCATGAGAGAGGACATCATTGTTTTATCATTACTGCTGTTGTTCTTCAACCGCTCTACTGGTTCTTCTCCTTGTTCAGCTTGCACCTATAAAAACCAGGAGTGCCGTTTGACCATCCATTATGACCATGGATTTTCTCTCACAACTGAACCTCAAGATGGTGCCTTTCCCAAAACTATTCTACAGTTTCCTTATGAGAAGCTAAAAATGTCCTCGGATGATGGGATTCGAATGCTTTACCTCGACTTTGGAGGAAAGGAAGGTGAAATTGTAAGTGTGTTTTGATATGGATCTTCACTCGTTTCACCACATCTTTTTGACTGTTGTTACTGGTGACATATCATACCTCAAAACTGTCATGACAGGTTAGTATTTCATTAATAGTTGCACTCTAAAACAAGTACTGAAGAATCTGGGAAGGGCTTGGAGAGGAAATTCCATGCCATTCTTCCTAGCCATCAGAAGAGGATACTTTACATTCCTAAAGTTAATATTCAGGGGTGGAGCACCCAAAAGAAACAAAAATAGGAAAGTCTGCTCTTTGTCAGTCAAGTTTACTGTTTATAACACTGGAAAACATTGAATGGGTTGAATAAGGTTCCCCTTTGCTCACCCCCCCCCTCCCAGTGGCCCAATGGGTTAAACCCCTGTGCCGACAGGACTGAAGACCAAAAGGTCGGAGATTTGAATCTGGGAGAGCATGGGTGAGCTCCTTCTGTCAGCTCCAGTTCCCCATGTGGGGACATGAGAATAGCCTCCCATAGGATAGTAAAATATCAAACTTCCAGGCATCCCCTGGGCAACATCCTTGCAGACGGGCAGTTCTCGTACACCAGAAGTGACTTGCAGTTTCTCAAGTAGCTCCTGACACTAAAACAAACAAACAAACAATGGGGTTCCTCCTGTGAGCAGGACAGCTTTGGATTCAACCCAGTTTCTATCATAGATGTTCTTCTATATGAAATAAAACAAAAACCTCTCATAATCCCTTGTTGTCTCTTCCAATTTCAGCAACTGGATCTTCACTCTTGTCCAAAGCCAATCGTGTTCATCATTCATTCATTCCTTTCAGCCAAGATTACAAGACTTGGGTTGGTAGCATAAATGCCATCTTGTCAGTTGTTCAAGCAAGAGGGAAGATGGAGCTGTCTCTTCAGCCTAGAATGCAAGTAACTTTTGGGCAACACCTGGAGCAGTGATGGATTAAGAACTATTCTGCACTGGGCTGAGGCAATGCCCATGTTTGATCAGCTATAATAAAACAGACAAGCAGAGAAGAATGAGAGTTGTCAAGACGATGGAAAGCAAGAACATAAGGTTCACCTAAGCCATTGGAAGGAAGACACTGATTGCTGTAAATAAAGGCAAAAATTGAATACTGAAGGAGTAATAGCTTAATACCAGATTCTGACATTACAAAGTCACAACAGTGCCTATATAAAGTGTTATGAAGCAATGGGTTTTCAACTGGGTCTGAGAAACACCAGAATTTCATTGAAAATCCAGGGATATTGGTAATGATGGACAAACTTCCCTAAATGGAAAACATGCCCACTGTTTCTTCATCTTCAACTGCAGAACATCCCTAGGTCTCAATTTTAGAGTAGATTCTCTGTTTATTTGCAGCAGAAAATATTCCCAAAGAGCTCTGGCTGATTATTTGTGTCGACTGATAGTATGCCCTAAAACCCAACCTAGTTTCAAAAACACTGAAAATAAGGGTTGCTGTGAGTTTTCCAGGCTGTACGGCCATGTTCCAGAAGCATTCTCTCCTGACGTTTCACCCACATCTATGGCAGACATTCTCAGAGGTTGTGAGGTCTGTTAGAAAACTAGGCAAGTAAGGTTTATATATCTGTGGATTGTCCAGGGTGGGGGAAAGAACTCTTGTGTGCTTGAGACAAGTATGAATGTTGCAGTTGGCCACATTGATTAGCATTGAATTGCCTTGCTGCTTCAACGCCTGGCTGATTGTTGCCTGGGAGAATCTTTTGTTTGGAGGTGTTAGCTGGCCCTGATTGATTCATGTCTAGAATTCCCCTGCTTTTTGAATGTTGTTACTGTCTTGTTTTTAGAGGGTTTTTAAAAAACTGGTAGCAAGATTTTGTTCATTTTCATGAACAAATGCCAGGAGATAATGTTTCTGGAACATGGCCATACAGCCAGGAAAACTCACAGCAACCCAGTGATTCCAACCATAAAAGCCTTCAACAATACTATAAAAGTAAGTGTTAAGTAGCAAGATGAGTACATTTATCCACACAGGATTTGATAAAGTCACCAAAGCCTCTGTAACAATGGAAGGTGTTAAGTTGTCTTTCCATTTTTAAAAAGCATCAGGAAAATGGAAGGTTGCTTACCTGTAACCGTGGTTTCCTGAGTAGTTACCTGTGAATACGCACATTGTGGTATTCCTGCGCCCACGCAGGCCAGCCTCGGAACCTTCTAGAAAAGTTTAAAGAATTGTATCCCCCTCGTGGCTCCACCTCCCCCTCCTCAGTATATAAGGCCCCTGGGTGGAGCCAGCCTCCATCCTCTTCCGCCGCATAGCAGCCAGAAGAAGTGGCATGATACCTGAGGGGAGGAAGGGAGGGTATGTGCATATTCACAGGTAACTACTCAGGAAACCACGGTTACAGGTAAGCAACCTTCCATTTCCTGTCGTAGTTAACTGTGAATCGCACATTGTGGTAGACTAGCGAGCTATACTACGGCTGGCGGGATCATGCCACTGCCGAGAACAGCACCGCTCTACCAAATCCTGCCTCTCCTCTCGACACACAGTCCAACTTGTAGTGGGAAACAAAGGTGGAAGGAGAGGCCCAAATGGCAGCCCTACAGATCGTCTCCAAAGGAATGCCCTTCATGAACGCTGTGGAAGCTGCTACAGCCCTCGTCGAGTGACCCTTAATCTGATGTGGCAAATCCCTGCCTGCCAACCTATAAGAGGTACGAATGGCAGAGACAATCCATGCAGATAACCTTTGAGACGAGACTGGAAGACCCTTCGCATCTTTCCGATATTTAACAAACAATCTAGGGGATTGCCTGAACCCAGCCGTTCTCTGTAAATAAAAAGCCAGGGCCCTCCTAACATCCAAAGAATGTAAGCCCCTTTCCATGGGAGTCTCCGGATTCTGAAAGAATGCTGGTAAGACCACCTCCTGGGACATGTGAAACCTCGTAGCTACCTTAGGTAAGAAAGCAACATCAGTACGAAGTACCACCTTGTCCTTATGGAATCTAAGGTAAGGAGGGTCTACTCTGAGTGCACACAGTTCGCTAGCTCTTCTAGCAGACGTTATAGCAACTAGGAAGACAACTTTCCAAGTCAGGGGACCCAGATCTGCCGTAGCCAGCGGCTCGAAGGGAGGCTTCATCAAAGCCGAAAGGACCAACTCCAAGCTCCAAGAAGGGGAAACTGGAGCCACTGGGGGTCTGATATTTCCTAAGCCTCTCAAAAAACATTTAACCAGTGGGTCAGCAAAACATGACGGTAGTCCCACCTTTCTTCGAAACCATGAAATGGCAGCGAGGTAACACTTAATAGAAGAATTAGAAAGTCCTGTATCATAGAGGGTTGACAAAAAATCCAATACTATGGAAATAGGGGCAACCTCCGGCTCTTGTCCCTTTGCCCTCGAAAACTCTCTAAAGCGTGACCACTTGAACATGTATGAGCGTTTAGTGGAAGGCCTATGCGCTGCCTCAATGATAGTCCTTACATTCTGAGGGAGAGTCAAGGACATATCTGTCACTGGGGCATAACTAGCCAGGCTGTGAGCTTCAGAAGATGGACGTCCGGATACAACACCTGACCCTCCTGAGACGTTAGAAGGTCTGCTCTCCTCTCTAGTCTCACATGGTTCCCTCCCGATAACTGTAACAGAGGGGCAAACCACGGCTGACGAGGCCACCATGGTGTGACCAGGATGCAATAGGCCCTGTCCCTTTGAAGTTTCGCCACCACCCTTAGAAGAGGGAAGGGGGGAAATGCGTACGCTAAGCCCCCTCCCCATTCCCTGAGGAATGCATCTCCCAGGCAGCCCTGTTCTTTGGGGAATGGGGACCTCGAGCAAAACATCTCGCATTTCCTGTTCTCCCTGGTGGCAAAGAGATCGATCAATGGATACCCCCAAAGGAGGAACAGTCTGTTTGCCTCCTGGGGATGGAGGGACCAATCGTGGTGACCCAACGGGTTCCTGCTGAGAGCGTCTGCTAACGAGTTTTCGTGTCCAGGAAGGTGAGTGGCTTGTAGATACACCTGCCTCTGAATGCACCAATCCCAGATGCGTAGAGTTAGTTGCAGCAGCTGAAGAGAATGGGTGCCGCCCCGCTTGTTCAGGTAAAACACGACGGTCGTATTGTCCGTCAAGATCTGAACGACCTGACCTAGAATGAGTCTTTCAAATGACTTTAGTGCTCTTTCTACGGCCATCAGTTCCAGAACGTTTATGTGAAGCAGGGTTTCGCTTGGAGACCACTTGCCGTGTGCTACAAGTCCCTGTGAATGGGCGCCCCACCCCGAGAGGGACGAGTCCGTCGTAACTACTCTGGTGGGGTAAGGTAGTTGGAAGGGAAGGCCCGAACAGACAAACTGGGGCTGCAGCCACCATGTTAGGGACATACGGACCTCCTCCGGAAGCACAAACCTGAGGCGGGGGCAGTCCCTGAGGGGGTTGAAGACCGACCCAAACCAAGATTGGAGGGGGCGCATACGCAAGCGCGCAAAGGGGGTTACTGAGGTAGTGGAGGCCATGTAACCCAAGAGTGTTTGCACCTGCTTGGCTGACACCCTGGGAGACGCCAGGGTCGACTTCACCTGTGTTTGTAGGTTGGAGAAACGTTCCGCTGGGAGGTAAGCCCTGCGCGTCGTTGCATCGAGGAACGCTCCAATGAACAGAATGCCACGGGATGGCTCCAGAGAGGATTTCTCCATGTTGACGATCAGGCCCAGGGACTGGAGGAGACACAAAGTGGTATGTACATGTAGTTTTAGTTGGGAAGATGATCTTCCAATAATAATCCAGTCATCAATGTATGGGTAAATGACTATTCCCTGAGTTCGCAAGTGTGCTACCACCACCGCCATGCACTTTGTGAATACTCTTGGAGCAGTACTAAGTCCAAACGGGAGGACGTTGTACTGAAAAGCTGTATTGCCTACCATAAACGTCAGAAATCTACGGTGGTGGGGCACTATCGATACGTGGAAGTAAGCATCTCGTAAATCTATGGTAGCAAACCATGCTCCCTCTGGTATAAGGGGCATGATAGATGAGAGCGTCACCATACGAAATTTCTTTGGTAAGATTGCTTTATTTAGATCTCTTAAGTCCAAAATGGCCCTAAAGCCGCCACCGCGTTTAGTAATAACAAAGTATCTTGAGAAAAAACATGTGGAAAACATTGAAACTGGAACTGGTGAGATAGCGCCCTTTTCTAGGAGAGTGTTAATCTCACAGAGCAAAACCTCCGAGGGAGTGGTACTCCTGATTTTTCCCACTTGGGGAGTACTTTCAAATTCAATGGAGTAACCCACTTGTCTGACGTAATACTAGCCCAACTATTGTAAAAACCTTGCAACCTGTTACCAAACTTGGGGTGGGTAATGGGGACGTAACCATAGGGCAGACTGTCAGGGCCGAGGGAAATATGTAACTGAGAGGAGGCCTGCAAGGAGTAAGGTGTTTCCACAGGTCCCTGGAGGGTTTCCTCAGATGAAGCATCAAAGACGCTTCCTTGAGGCGCCTTGATTTTTGGACCTGACCTGGTATGGCTGATACCTAGACTTAGATGAGTAAGAACTTCTCTTGTTGTTCTGGAATCTAGGGGACGGGGGGCCTCTCCCTCTGCTTGGCCCCGAAAAAGAGTTGTTGAAACTCTTTCGATATTGAGTGGAGGGTGCTTGCCATTTAGAGCGGCTCTGGTTGTACGGCTGCCAGGTGTACCCGAACTTACCAGCAGCTTGTCGCACCTCCTGTTTCTCTTTCAGGGTCACATCAGTTTCGGGATTGAAGAGGCCTTCCTCGTGTAGAGGAAGGTCCTCTGCTAAGGCTTTGCCCTCTTCAGATAAGTTGGCAGTGCGTAGCCAAGCATGCCTTCGGATAGAGGTTGCCGTAGCAAAGAGGTGGCCAGCCGATTCAGCGAGGTGTTTAGCGAAGTCCTTCTGGACTTTCGATAGAAGTATCACCTCCACCTGCAGTGCCTTTGGAAACCGTTGTTCCTCAGGCGGGAGTTTGTCCAGATAGGGGAGAATCTTATTCCAAAGAAATGTTTGGTACCCGCTCATGTAAGTGGCATAGTGGGCCATCCTGGTAACCAAACCTGCCGCTAAATGGGCCTTCTTCCCTAAGAGGTCCACCTTCTTACCCTCTTTGTCA